TGAAATATGTGACGTTTGATTCCATATATGTATGACCAGCAGTTGAACAATCATCCGTTAACCACAAAAATATCTATAATTTCGAGAGATTTCGACAGAAGACAACCAAAGAATGATAGAAGTTACAAGTTGCCTATGAATTGAAACGACAAACACAAGTGTTACTGTCAGGATAAATATACTGATCAGTGTCACACCGAAAATGTGACATTCTCACGTTCTTAGTATTATTAAATCAGTCAAACTGTTTCTGTGACTGATAAGCTACCCGCCTTTTAATTAAAGAAATTATTTTTCCAGTAGAACTTTACTATATAATAACATAAAAGAGATTGTTCAACCCCCTGTCTAGATAATATATTTTAACATAATTAATCTATAGTATTATTTTCCACCATGATAATATGTACCTATAATCTAGCTAGTATAAACCTACAACTCTTATTTACAACTCTATGTATAAAGAAATTACCTTAACTAGCTAACTCTATCGATAATTGATTAATGAAAACAAAAATAAGTTACTCTAATAAGGATTCGCCACAAATCGATTAATGGTGAACGCCTGAAGTTAGTTACATAAAATGCTATGTTATGGTTAAGTATTACGGAAACTCTCCAATCTATCCCTATGAGAAGGTACTGTGTGCAACACTAAGTCTAGAAGACGTTAAGTAAGTCCTTCGATATGTCATTTTTGGACTGCTGAGGATTATTTTGAAACGAAAATATCGATACAATATCGAACATCCCTACTCCTGGGACATATAATAACACTAAAGGAAACTGTTTAAAATACCAAAGTATATTTCGAACAAAGAACTTTGGGTCCAGAGATATTCTCTTTTAACTGCGAAACTTTTTATACCTCATCAAACTTAGAGGGCTGAAAAAACTTCCAAGATATAAGTATAAGAATTTAAAAATGCTATAAATAAAAATGTTCGAATTATGTTTCCCTTAAAAGTTTTATCTAAATGTTTTAAGATAAGAACTATACATGTATAAATTACGATTATGTTTGGCAATTTTATTTAGTTTAGAGTTTTAAGTCTGAAAGAAGACTTTAAAAATTATCATTTAATAAAATGACTAAGGAAGAAGATCTGAAATATACTATTTTTATATTCATGTATTAATACTATACAGTGTGTCAATTTTAAAACTTCCCACCCTTAATATCTTTCTTGCAGTTAAAAATATGAAAATCGGAAAGACACGTCAATTTTATTTGTAAGGGGGACACTTTAAATTAATATTTTTAGCCTTTTTCTTTTAACCCGCCGAGGGGTAGATGTCACCCTTACAATTTTAAATGGGAATGGGGGTCAAGTGGCACATCGTTTTAAAGGACGTTTAATTCTCTTTTCAGTGGTATCCTACTTTGTTGCTTTTTGTCCAGAGGTTTCTGAATAATCGCGTTTGAAACTTGCACAAACAATTAAACATGCCTGCTAGTGTTTATAAAAAATGGCAATAATAAAGGTGGCAACCTCTAATCAGTTATACAGGAGGATTTGTTAACATTCCAGCAGGACGGTGGCTCCACCTCATTATTTTCTTCCGATCCGACAATGGTTAAACGAGAGATTTCCGGGTACATGGGCTGGCAGAAGGGGACCAATTGAATGGCTTCCAAGATCACCGGATTAACACCCTTAGATTTCTTTCTTTGGGGACATCTTAAATCCATTGTTTATAGAACACAACCTACTGATATTGATGATCTTAAAAGGCGAATTACAGCAGAATGCCGGTCAATTCCCGGTGAAGTTTTCCGAAATGTTAGGAAGGAGTTTGAAAACACACTTTACTATTGTTAACAGGAAAATGGACAAAATTCTGATCAACTTATAAGATAGGGCGTAAGTGGTGTAATGTGATCTTCTAATCTTTTGTACTATAAGGAGATCCATTGCAATAATTTTTGTGTAAACACTAGACTGAAAACCAAAATCTCAATGCAGGCATGTTTAATTGTTTCTGCAACTTTGAAACGTGATTAATTAAGCAAATTCGGAAACCACTCGACAAAAAGCAACAAAGTAGGATATCACTGAAAAGATAATTAAACGCCCTTTAAAACGATGTGCCACTTGACCCCCATTCCTATTTAAGATTGTAAGGGTGACATCTCCCCTTCCTAGAGGGTTAAAAGAAAAAGGCTAAAAAAATTAATTTAAAGTGTCCCCCTTACAAATAAAATTGACGTCTCTTTCCGATTTTTCATACTTTTAACTGCAAGAAAGATATTAAGGGTGGGAAGTTTTAAAATTGACACACTGTATAATAGAGAATAGGCCATTTTTTGATATTTTCTGTCGTTTGACGTCTCACTTGACATATTTGAAATTGATATGAATTTTTGCGGATTTTATCAGGTAGAGAAAATTTTGAAATACTTTAAATTTGAAAAATACTAATTTTTAATTCTCCATGTAACCAAGAAATAGAGAATGAAAAGAAATGAAAAAAAAATATTTTATATTTAAGTTATTAATTTACTACTTGACAAAAATAATGATACGTCAATTTGATTTAATTGTTTTATCTTATTTACTTCTATTACAAAAATATATATTTTTAACAATTTTAATAACTTATAATAACCATTTATGGGATCAAAAAAAGCAGCAAATTATTGAGTCTATCTCTATACTATGAGTCTACTATACAGGGTGGTCCGAATTGTATTCCGGAAACTTCGGCAGCATATTCTGCCGATAAAAAAATAAGTAAAAAAGTTCTTATAAATGAATGTCCTAAAATGCTTAGTTTCGGAGATACAGGGCGTAGAAGTTGCATTTTTATTTCGATTTTTTCCAAATAATTTCTGAAGTAACGTCAATGTTTGGATGAAAATTCGTGGCTGAGAGTTTTTTGATATGAGAAATTTGATTTTGATGTCCATATGACTCATACTTGTAGAGGACGCCACCTACATATTTTTTAACTGGTTTGAAGGGTAATAACTTTTCGTCCGAACCTGTATAAAACTACTGAGTGAAAAAATATACATTTACGACGTTTTTTACGTACAAAAGGTCTCTTGGTAAAAATCGCTACCAGTAATGGTTCTCGAGATATTTGTAATCGAAATTATCAATACCTGTCGTTATTGACATAAACAATACATGTTGACTAAATAGTTATTAGACTGAAATCATACTTGAAATGTTTTTTCTGTCAAAAGTTCAACAGAAACTATTTTATCGTCATTTTTTCGAAGAATGTTATGATTAATTTGAAATAATAAAAAGTTCCCAAATTTATCATTTCAGTCTAATAACCATTTACTCAACACGTTTAATTTTTTGTCAATAATGACATTTATTGACTATTTCCATTCTAAATATTTTGGGAACGGTTACTCGTAGCGATTTTTACCAGGAGACATTTTTTACGTAAAAAATCACGGAAATATATATTGTTTCATCTAGTAGTTTTATACAGGTACGTACGAAAAGTGTTTACTCTTCAAAACAGTTAAAATACATGTAGGTGGCGCCCCCTACAAGTAGAAGTCATACTGACATCAAAATCAAATTTCTCATGTCTAAAAACTGCAAGGCACCAATTTTCATCTAAACATTGACGTTAGTTCAGATATTATTTGGAAAAAATCGAAATAAAAATGAAACTTCTACACCCTGTATCTCCCAAACTCAGCATTTTAGGACATACATTTATAAGACTTTTTTACTTATTTTTATCTGCAGAATGTGCTGCCGAAGTTTCCGGAATACAGTTCGGACCATATGTATTATAATTATTGATATTTTAAAACGTTTTTAATAAAATTAGAACGGAACTGATAAATCAGAATTCAAGTAGCCATATTAAGGCCCCATCGCGGTCGTGATAAATTTGTTGATATACTCATTCCTTAGTCTTTTTATTCGTAGGTCTCAAACAGTCTTCATACTATGAGATTTTTTACTTTAATAATCAAGCAACTCTATATCTGACATTGTATATCTTTTAAATTTCTAGTACCACATAAAAACCGCTCAGCAGTGCAACAAAAATGACACAATTTTACGACAAAATAAATCGAAACCATTCTACATGTCCTACGATAGTTATTAAGTAACCGTGAGGTGTTTAGACTGTGATAGGTTTATTAAAATATAAATGGGGCATGCTGTAAATCGTTTTATTTTCAATTTCGAGTACGTTTCAAAACCCAAACAGCATCAAATTAGTCGGCTAAATATTTACGCGTCCGACAGGAAACCGTGAAGCTATTAAATCAAGAGAAAAAAGTTTAACTAGTTTATGTCCTTGTAAACTGTCAGAGAAAATTATCGCGAACTAATATTTATTCATAAAATTAAATAAGAATACAGAGTGTGCCAGAAGGAATTACTGTGAGTGATTACTTTGAATTTAGAGATCAGACGCCCAGAGGCATTATTGCTACATCAAATAACATACGATTGAAAAAAAAACGGCGTCAAAGACGACAGGGAAATGACAATCGATGATAATTTTGGCGAAGTCAATCTCTAGTCCTTACTTTTCTTTATTTCTTAATGCCGCTTACTGCCAGTTGACCTTAAGAAAGTTGTATTTTTTTATATTTAAGTAAAAATGATTTCTAAATGGTGTAGTTTTTAAAATTAAAGAAAAAATATTTTTTGGAAATAGATTTGTGTGCCTAGAAACGTTCTGCCTTTTTTAACCCTTCTATAATTAGTGTTAATTTTTGACAATTTTTAGTAAATGACGTCCACAGATTAACCTCGCCAAAATTATAATCGGTTGTCATTCTCCGGCCGTCTTTAACGCCGTTTTTTTCGGTCATACTCTACAGCTTCTTTTAAATCTATTTATTTTTTTCTATATACATATCAGATGAAGTTTCCGGTGAGACACCCTGTACAAATGCGTTACGTTAGCGAATAATTTGATCTGCTTCTGTTTATGTGGGTTGGAAGATTGTAATTATAGAGTTTTTACGTTTAATATTAAAATATGAAAATGATATTCTTACTCACCAATCAAGCTTTATATTTGGATATATCGTGACAGCCATTTTCATTTATTGGAGCCGTGGGAAATATCTGAAAGAAAATAAATAAAGTTAGTAAATAGGATATAATATACATTATTATAAATATGTATGATTAATAAATAAAAGTAGCTGATAGATTGTACAACGAACTCCTTTTAATTTAGAAGACTCCCTTCGGTAAAATAGTGTATAGAAATTGTGTAATTTTGAGTCAAATCTGTATAACAAATATAATAAAAACTGTATTGAATAATTGGAAATAATTCTATAGTATCGATATTTCCCTAAATATACATACTAAAGATGTCGATATTTCAATCAATCGATCTTTTTTTGTTGTCTCTAATTCAATACAGTCGGGTCTTCGCATTCTAAGCAAAAGGCAGACAAAAGAGACACGATGTCAAGTGCCTGAATCTGTCTGCATCCGCCCAACGTCCTTAAAATATCTGTTAAATATCCATACTAAAAATATCGATATTTTTGTATATCGATAATGTTGAACATCACTACTTCTGTTATAGTCTGCTCTCACACTCCAGGAGAATTGTATAAACATCGATACTTATGCTCAATGTTTTGAAATATTGATACTACGACAAATCGATATTTTTATACATCCCTAGGCCGGTACAGCAGGTTTTCACACTCTACATACTCTATAAGAAAGTCATAAATAATTTACCGCAGTATAAAGAGGTGGGAAACAGCGAGCTAAGGCTGGGAACCATCGACAAAGTGCCTGGAGCCTGTATCCGTTCGGCATAAAATGAATATTCTTAATAGTTTTATATAATAAAACTTTAAATTATTGATATACTTGTATCGATATTTTTTCTATCGATACTTATACACTTGATATACGTGTAACGAGATTTTTTCTATCGATATTCTTAAATATCGAGATTCTTAGACACTCCTGATTCAGTCCAGTCTTTTATCATACTAAGTGAAAAGTATGAATAATTTACCGAAGCATAATGCAGAAAGCAGCGAACCAAAACCAAGTGACGAGGATATAGTGCCTGGAGCATAGACCCTTCGACATTAGCTTAATATTCCCTATGTTTATTAAATATCGTTTCAATATATTTTTATCGATACTTACACATATCGACATTTCTGGATATGCCTCTTTCAGTCGACTAAGTGAAAAGTATGAATAATTTACTGCAGCATAAAGAAGAAAGCAGCGAACCAAAGTGGAGGCCTGTCTCATCTATGTATCTATATGGCCTGGACCCATCGACACTAGCTCAATATTCCTAATACATTTATTATACAGGGTGCTTCAAAAAACATGTGCTATCTCTCGTGGGGAGATTCCTCACGTAAAAATAAGATTTATTTTTTATATCAACATATATCCGATTCTGCTTTGTTTCGTAGCTACAGGGTTTAAAAATATTTTTTCGATTTATTATAATTTTCTTCCAAGTACCTACTTTTAGCGTTTCGAATGAAATTTTGAGAGTAAAAGTTACTATAAATGCGTCATATTTGAAAGCTAAAAAAGTGTCGGCATATTTTATTAGTTTAGTATTAAAATATGTAGCACTTTTAAGTAACTTTTACCCTCAAAATTTCATTGGAATCACTAAAACTACTTGGAAGAAAATTATAATAAATCGAAAGATTATTAAGACTTTAACACCCTGTAGCTACAAAACAAAGCAGAATCGGACCTATGTTGATATGAAAAATAAACCTTATTTACCAGAGATAGCACATGAAACACCCTGTAAAAATAACGATATTGTACCGTATGATCGAATAAAAACGGCGTCAGCGCTGGCTATGAAATGAAGATCGCTGTCATTTTATATGTAAAATTATACTGGAAATGTCATCGATCGTCATTTCCAAGCCAACTGGACGCCATTTTTTTTCGATCATACGGTATAATTATGCGTTTCGATATCTTTCGATATATAACGATATACACATTGATATTTCTGTACATTCCTATCGCAGTCCAGTCTTTTCTCTTACTGTACGCAAAAACTATGAATAATTTACCGTAGCCGTAGAATAAAGAGGTAAAAAGTAGGGAATTAGAGTGGAGCAACAGGGACAGAATGCCAATACTGACCTAATATTCCTAATATTTTTTTTATTTTATAAATATATATTATATATATATATATATATATATATATCGATATAAATCGATATCTTTGGGCATCCCTAGTCCGGTCCAGTCTTTTCTCACACTCCACGCGAGAAGCATGAATAATTTACCGCAGCATAAAGAGGTGAGAAGCAGCCACATCGGCACAGTGCCTGGGGCCTGGATCAGTCGGCACTCGCTCAACCTTCCCCTTGTTGCGACTTTCGTTCTCCTCTAGAGATCGATACCTCCTCCCCTTCTTCCTACAGATTTTAATACACTCCCGCGGGAGAGAAATCGCTGCGAAAAACACATATACGGATCGGATTTAATTCAAATATTGTGACGGTTGAAGATATAAAGAATGATGATAGATATTTTGATTAAAGGCAATTTTGTGCCAAAATAACTGTGAGATTTCTCCCGATGAAACTACCACGACTTTCATGAAATCGAGAGTTTAAAGTAGTTTTGGTAGGAATGAACAAATACAAGACCAATACTCCCTTGGTCCTGCTCTTGCTATAAGACTCTTGTAAGTATTGCATTTCTTTAATCTGTAACCATCCTTTTCTCGAAGGTATTAGCGGCACTTTTGACCACCCTGTAACTTCGTTGCGCATAAAGCAAGAATATTAATTTTCACTACACATGAAGACATACTATATCTGGCTAGGTTACCAAAATATCTAGTAATTATACCTCATAGTTTATGAATTATCGCTTGTCAAATTTCTTTAATTTCGACATTGACTCACTGACAGATCATCAATTCTAATGAATTCTAAGGTACTTCTAGATGTGTCACAAACTTCAAATTTCGAATTTTAGATAGCTTTAAGCTTATATAATGGAAAATCTCAAAATATCCTTATGGATCAAAAATTAGCTTGTCTAGCCGCTACCGGTAACCGACTTTCCGGCGATAGTATTAGGGGAACCGGTGATACGATTGTTTTGAAAATTTGGTTTTTTCTATAAAGGCACCTGCTCCATCTATCTAGAATATTTATTATCAGCGTTACAGTGTTGCCGGATCATTTGAAAAGTGGTAGCATCTTTGTTATTTTAGTATAGTATATTATTACATTTTTGGAAACTACTCTCTTATCTCATATTTTTTTATTATACTAAGCTATATTTACCTCTTGTAGTTTTCGAGATAAAAAATTAAATATGTGTAAAATTGACAAAAATATCGTTTTGAATAAGCAATGGTAAAATCATGAATTGAATATTTTTAAAGTTGATATTTAGGTTTCTTTTTTTTTGTGGGAAAAATCAGCAAACCAGAGACCGTATGTGGTACTGTCGGGGTGGTTGAGGTACCTTACCGACTAAAAAACCTCCACAAGCCGCTTTGAATATCTCCCCGAGGAACTACCTTTCGGCATTACTTCTCGAGGAGGCGGTTTTACTGCGATGTTTTAGTTACTTCGTCTAGCTTCTTTCTCTTTTGCATCTATTAGTGTCTCCATAAAAGTGTGAACACTATTCCAATTTTCTGGGGATCGAATCATCTCTGGAACTAGATCGGAAATCTTTGGGACTCTTAGTTTTTCGTATAGAACTCTTCGTTCAGCTGTCCATCGGTTACATTCCAAAAGGGTTATGCTGCACCGTATCAGCATCGGAGTCGCCATAGAGACATCTCGGGCTATCAGCTAACTTTATTTTATGTAGGTAATACCTGAAACAACCGTGGCCAGAAAGGAATTGACTCATGGCATAGCTCATTTCTCCATATTCTCTATTTATCCAACACTCTAGGTTCTTTATAAGTGTTCTAGTCCATTTACCTTTCCCATTTCTGTTTTGACTCCATCTTTTACACCATATTTCCAGAACTCTATTTCTACTTTCTTACGCTGTTCTTCCTGAATGTTCTTACCTTTCTATTCTTTCTTCAATTACTATGTCTATCGGGGCCATTGAGCTCAGAACTTGTGCAGCCTCCGCAGATATTGTCTTGTATCCACGACATACTCTTATGGCCAATCTCCGTTGCATTGCAAGAAGTGGCTCCGAACTATGGCTCTATGGCTCCGAACTTTGCAGGTTTCTCCCCAAATTTCGGATCCATACAAAATTGTAGATGCTTGTACAACAGCTAGTACTCGGCGTTTTGTTTGACCCAAGGTAGACCAGTTTGGCATAATTCTGGATAACATGGCCTCCTGTCTTTCTGCTTTCAAAACTGTATAGCGGATATGCTCAGAAAAGCCTCCTCCCGCTGGGAAACAATCCCCAAATATTTTATTATTTTCTTTGGTACAATTATATTTTGTTTCAGATGAAAACGTACACTGCGTGATTTTCGGTTACCAACCAAAATAACTGCCTCTGTTTTGTGCGGCGCTATTCCTAGTCCCACCTCATCCATCCATGAGCACACCTGCTCCGATGCTCTTTCCGTAGTTCTAATGAGGTCTTCAGTACATTTAGCCTTTACCATCAGCGCAACATCATCTGCATATGCTATGACTTCTACTACTGCTGGGTATTCCATACGGAACGACGAAGGAGTCCATCATACAGTACATTCCATAGTAAAGGACCCAGTATAGATCCCTGAGGTACACCTTTAGATACTTTAACTTCTGTATCCTCTACAATAACGCATTTTTCGCTTAGATAAGCTTTTATATTTTCCACTAAATATAAACTTATTTTCCAATGATATGTAAGCTCATTGATTATATTTTCCCAGTTAGCCGAGTTGAAAGCATTTTTTACATCCAAGGTAAATAAGCAATGGTAAAATCATGAATTGAACTTTTTAAAGTTGATATTTAGGTTATAACGAAATACACAGTCCCACACTGGTTTAAAAGATTTTAACTCCGTACAGCCGAGATACTGAACAGGTAAGACTGACAGGTAAAATGCCATGTGTAGACGGGGCTTTACGTTCGTCTTAGAATTTTCAGCTTTTCCTA